ATTGCCTTTTTCCCTCTGAGGACGTGATATTCTCTCTCAAATGGGTGTTTTACTTTGCAGTCCTGGCACTAAAGTCACTTCCCAAATGCTACAAATGAGATTTGATCCTCAAGGAGGTTTTGGAAAAAAACCAGTCTAGACAGTTATACCCCATTAATGTACAACCTAAATTTGACAAAACTGGACTAGGGTATCCAAATTTATAGACAGGGCCATTGTCTCTCAGACTGCTGATCCCATAACTTGGAAAAACAACTCTCCGGTATGGGTTGAAAAATGGCCCCTTTCATCTGAAAAGATATCAGCAGCAAAACAGTTAGTACAACAGCAATTAAAACAAGGCCATATAGAGCCCTCTACTAGTCCCTGGAATACTCCAATTTTTGTTATCAAAAAAATCAGGTAAATGGAGACTGTTACAGGATTTAAGAGCTGTTAACTATGGAGGATATGGGTGCTTTGCAACCTGGACTACCATCGCCTTCTGCTATTCCTAGAGGTTATAATATTGTAATAATTGATCTGCAAGACTGCTTTTTCTCCATTCCCTTATATCCCCCGGATTGTCAAAGATTTGCATTTAGCATTCCTTCAGAAAACTTTAAGCAGCCTTATCAGAAATATCAATGGAAAGTCCTTCCACAGGGAATGAAAAATAGTCCTACCCTTTGTCAGAAATTTGTAGATACTGCTCTTCAAACTGTTAGACAAAATTTCCCTGAAGTGTATCTAATACATTATATGGATGATATATTAATTGCTCATTTAGATAGGAAAGTTCTTCAAACAGTTCTAACAGTCACTGTATTAACCTTGAAAGAATTTGGATTGCAAATAGCACCTGAAAAAATCCAAACAGAGCCACCCTTTTCTTATTTGGGTAGAACCTTACAAACTTCCTTTTACACCCACCAACCTTTAGAACTTAGAAGAGATCATTTGCAAACCTTAAACGACTTTCAAAAATTGTTAGGAGATATCAATTGGATTAGACCTTTACTTAAGCTTACCACTGCAGATTTAAAGCCATTGTTTAATGTTTTACAAGGAAACTCCGATCCCAGGTCTCCCAGGAATCTTACGCCTGAGGCAGCAGAGGCTTTAACAGTTGTGGAAAAACACATCAACACAGCCACTTTGCAGTATTTAAATTATTCACTGCCTTGGTCTTTTGTTGTATTACCCACTTG